GATATAGCAAAATGTTATGATACCATTTAAACAACACTGACTGACTTTACATTCAAAGCACAGTCAAAGATGCAAAGTAAAACATCAAATATTAAGGCATAAATTTGGTCAAGAGGTTTTTATAGTCCCTCTAAAAGTCTTTTTTTCCACTGTGAGAAATTACAGGAATTTTAGGAATATATATAAAACTAGACATTTTACAATGTCACTCTGGTGCCACATGTTTCTTGATGGAATTTGTTCTGAAAGGAAAGCCAGAAAACTGATTTCTCCCAGCTTAAGTGACTACGAATGAATTTTGATTGCTATCCTCTTGAAAAAAATCTTTTGTGCCTCAGTTAGATGAACAGTTAAATGGCAATACAAAAATTAGCAGATTTGTTTAGTAAGTATCAACAACAAATAATTGCTGTTGCTGACTAAGGGCAGAAAGGCAATTGTGATGGGATGTGAAGAACAGAAATCCTGGTGATATGAATGTTAACCAACAAAGTTCTCAAACTTGTCATTTAACACATTACTGAATTCTCTGATGGCAAAGTAGAAGTACAACTTTGCTGTAAGCTCCAAGTCCTGTATTACTCCAAAGTTCTTCAAATCTTAAATTGTTTCCAAGAATGAATAGATGCCCCAAATATCCACTTTGGGGCTGGATATTCTGCTCAAATTAACGAATAGACTGTTGTTAAACATGTACGCCATGAAAACTGACTGTGCAAGTTAAAGTCTACAATGGGAAAACAACCAAATGCAGAACATGGAGCAAGCTACAGTCCAAATGACCTGGCAACCAACAAATCCATGGCATTACAAAATGAAAGAGACTTCAACTACATCAAAAACAAATGCCATCTGTGGACTTTTTCTAGGATCTTGATACAAACAAACCTACTTGAAGAACTTATTAATTTTGTTAGGTATAATAATGCTAGATGGTTAAATAAAAGTCTATTAGTTAGAAATGCATACTGAAATGTGTGTGTGTAGATAGAAATGAGGACAGACAGAGAGAGAACTGAGAGAGAGAGAGAGAGATTATAAAGACATATGTTGTGCTGGTATGGTGGCTAAAGCCTCTAATCCCAGCACTTTGGGAGGCCAAGGTAGGTAGATCACAAGGTCAGGAGATTGGGCCATCCTGGCAACACAGTGAAGACCGGTCTCTACTAAAAATAAAAGAATTAGCCAGGCGTGGTGGTGGGTGCCTGTAGTCCCAGCTACCCGGGAGGCTGAGGCCGGAGAATCGCTTCAACTGGGAGGCGGAGGTTGCAATGAGCCAGGATAGCGCCACTGCACTCCAGTCTGGGTGAGACAGGCAAGACTCTGTCTCAAAAAAAAAAAAAAAAAAAAAAAAGACATATGTGGAAGATCTCCTTTTAAAATCCCAGAAAAGAAAAAATTATTACACTATGTGGGAAGAGGTGTGAGGATAGACTAAAATTATGCAAAATAGTAATAATTATGGAGTTGATATTTATCATACTAGCTTCTCTACTTTTGTGTTGCTTTACCTTCCTACTGAAAGAAGAAAAACGAGTATTTCCTGAAGTCGTATAGTCCATTTCAGCCTCAGAAGTCTGCACTGAAGGTACAGTTTGGCTAGAATTCATATTCCCATATTTACCTTAGGACACCTTTGCAGGAGGTGACAGTGAGGAATGCAATAAAACCTGAGAATATGGATTGATGCTGCTGCATAAATGTGTCTTCAGGTAATGGGAGGGAGAAATATTGGATAACCTTGCAATGTCTCATTCATTACATTTGCCTTTTCCAGAAAGACACCTGAGAGACCATTTTAATGGTCAGACCTGGAATATTCTTTATATTTATCTAAGTTAGATTTCACTCATAACCATATGTGACCAGACAGGGTTTCTTAATGGAGCCTTAAAGCAAGCAGAGGATCAAGGATATTTCAGAGAAGTGTTAATGCTCTGATGAAGATCTGGATATAATTATAAATGTAGACATGCATATGAAGTATTCTAACTAGAAATGAAGAAATTATTTTCACAGCTGTAGGAATCTCTATATTGGCATTCTGACAACCCTGTAATATTATTGGGTCACAAACATTAAAATCCTTTACAAAAGCTAAATCAAATGCATCTATTGGTGAAAGCACTTATAAGCGAATACACAGAATATCAATGGTGTATTCTTTATAATAAATGGCTGTGGTATTAAAATTAGTAGAAAAGAAATACTGAGGAATGTTTCCTATAATATTAGTAAATCTCATTGCCCTTTGTCATGCTGATGACCTCTGATAACCTTAATATATGCTCATGCCACAGAACCTATACGGAATCAAGGGAAAAATTAATTTTCTCATAGATATCTGATTCCAGAAATATCTTAACACTTTATAAATATTGTACCAATGTACTTACACATAAATCATGGAAAATTTTCCTAAGTAAAACCCTTTAAAGTTTGTAAGTCAGGTTTTATGAGTTCCATTTGCAGATGAGCAAACTGAGACCCTAGAGTTGCCAGAATCAGGTTCCAAATTTCAAATGTCTCAACTGAACATATACAATAAAGAGTACCTGTGTTGAGTCCAAATGTTTCCTTACCTAGTCCTCATGTAATCTTCCATTTCCATTTCCATCTAATCTGTTGGGTTCTGTTGCCCATTGGGCCCTATTGCCCTCCAAAGTCATATGCAAAGATGTTGCCTCTGTCTAGGTCATTTGAATGGAAACCCATTTGCTATTGTTTGAGGGCTAATATTGCAAGTCATTTCATAACTTTCTGTCCAAAAAATACCTTTAAAATATTTTAAAATACATCATGGTGCTTTGAGGCTTAATATTAAGAAATATTTTCAAGAACTAAAGTCTCATAAAAGTGAAGAAAAGTGAGAGCCAAATCCAGATTTAATTCAAATGTGTTAAACTCTTGGTCTTGCTCACAAAATCTGACCCACAAAAACAGTTATGGCTTCACCATCCCTAGGGTTGCTTAGCCAATAAAAATGAACCATCTTTAATTTCCCTCTTTATTTCATACCTCCACTTCTATTTCCTTAGAAAAGTTCTGTTGATTTTATTTTAAATATATCTAGAATCTAACCAATGCTCACCACTTCCACTGTTACCACCCTGGTCCAAGCACTGTCATCTATCTCCTGGATTGATATGGTAGCCTCATTACTGTGTCCCCTGCTAAGAGTGATCATCTCAGTCAGTCTGTGCTTCTGTAACAAAAATACTATTTCCTGGGTGGTTTAAATAGTAAGCATTTATTTCTCACGGTTCTAATGGCTGGAAAGCCCAAAATGAAGGTACCAGAAGACCTGACATCAAAGAAAGCCTGATTTGTGGCTTCTTAATAGCTGCCTTCTCTTATAGCAGAGAGAAAGAAGAAGCAAGCTCTCTCACATCTGTCTCTTCTCATCCTTATAATCCCACTGATCTGTCATGAGGGCTCCAATACCGTGACCTAATACCTCACAAAGGCTCTATCTCCAAATACCATCACATTGGGAATTGGGATTTCAATATGTGGATTTTGGGGAGGGTAAATGAAAACATTTGATCCACAGCAGTGACCCTTTTAATAGGTAATTTGATCACATATTGACTCTGCACAAAAATCTCCAGTTAGCTCCCCATTTCTCCATAATAAAGCCAGTATTCTTACAATGTCATCCAAAGCCCTCCATGACGTCCATCTCCAATTATTCTATCACTTGCTCTCTTCATTCTAGGCTCATTGGCCTCCTTGTTGTTCATGGAACACATGTTCTGCTTCCACATTAGGCCTTTGTACTGGCCACTCCCCATATATATATTTAAGTCTCACAAGCTCATCTCCTTCATGGTTTGCTCAGGCCAGTTTCTTAATGGCTCTAACCATCCTATTTAAAACTGCAACCCATCTCATACCTTGCCCTCCCAATCTTCCTTATATTTTTTTCTTTTTTTCATAGTACATATGACCTACTAATACACTATATATGTTTATTTTTAATTGTCTGTCTTATCCCTTTAGAATGTAATCTTCACAAGGGCATAGGCCTTTATTTTGCACACAGATGTATTCCCAGTGTCTGGAACAGTGTCTAGCACATAATGGTTATTCAAATTATATATTTTTAAAATAAATAAAATATCTGAAGTCAACAACTGTTAAGATATCAGTACATCCTTTTTCAGTTATGAATTTCTAAGTTTATGTCTGGCAACTCAGTTTCATATTAGACTGAAATTTGGCAGTATTGCCAAACTGAGATTTGATTTATTTACCCAATTTAAACAAAATATGTTTAGCTATTTGAAGTCCTATAAGGATAATAAAATAGAAAGTCTTTAGATACATGACACTATTTTATAATTGTATAAATCATTAAGGCCCTAGATGTATTGGGGATATTTAACTTGTCAGGTAGTTTATGGTTATGTGATATTAAGTGCAAAAGAAGTTACTAGTTGCTAAATACATAATGCAGTATAATTTTGCTTCTGTTGAAAGGCAAATCAGAAATAATCAGCTCACTATAGTCGACAAGTAAAAGGAGAAAAAAACTTATAAAAAGTATACAGGCAATTTACTAAAATCATTCAGAACACAATCTTTTCTTTTTCTCTTGAGGGACTACTCTATGTCTTTGCAGTAATTTCTGCAGCCTCAAGTACTCAGTGTGGCTTAGAATTACATATTTTGTTTTGGATTTCTCAAGTAGCCTCATGGATAATCTTCCCTCTTCAAACAATTTATTATCCTGAACCAGATCAGACCTGGTTGTGATGCTGTCTTAAGGGGTCGTGCCAAGGTAGGGACCATACACAGTTCCTGGAGGCTGACTCAGTCAGAGTGGCTACTGATTACTGTTGAGAAAGAGATTGATGGTCAGTATTTCTTTCCTTAATATTATTTTATTATGAACATTTTTCCTTGTCAATCAATATATTGCTACCAAAACAATTTTTATTGTAGCACATCATTCCTATCATATAGTTTTGTTTTATTTTTATTTTATTTTTTATTTTTGTGGGTACATAGTGTGTATATTTCTGGGGTACATGAGATGTTTTGATAGAGGCATGCGATGTGTAATAATCACATAAGGGTAAATGTGGTTTCCATACCCTTAAGCATTTACCCTTTGTATAAAAAACAATCCAATTACACTTTTATTTTTAAATGTATAATTCATTAATTATTGACTATAGTCACCCCATAGTGCTAGCCAATACTAGGTCTTACTTATTCATTCTAATATTTTGTACCCTCAGTTGTTAGTATTAAGACTAAACATCAATTATAAGATCCAAAGGGTAGGTGTAAAGTCAGAACTATGCAGTAAGATAAGATCAGGATCAGAGATAACAGAAAAATGTCTGAGAACAACAACAATGTGTGTAACACAGGGGAGAATAATATTCACCATAAATAATTCAAGAAGATTTATCCTAGGAGAAGCAAAGTGAGGGCCCACATTCTCGGTGGGTTCCTCTGTTCTTCTGTCACTGGGAAGTAAAGCGTGATGAGCAAGAAGCACAAAGTTGATGGGGTCCTTCAGCCTCCTGGAGTGACTCTCTGCAGCTCTTGGGCAAAACAGATGTCTCAATGACTACCTGGGAGAGTGAGGGGAAAACTCAGAGCCTTTCAAGCAACAGAGGTGTGAGAGAGAAGTTATCCACGTAATTCCCATTAGTCTGTTTTTCAGAGATACAAGTTGTCACGCCCATTTGGGATATTAAATGATAAGGGTTCAGTATTACCCTTCTGTACTGTGCAAAAGGGAATAGTCAAAAGCATATTTACTGTTCTCATGAAATTTGTAGTTTAACTATGAAGACAAGCGATATCTCTGTGAAAAGTAAAGATCACTTGCTGATCAACTAAGTTTTCTCACTTTCTAGTTTTTGTCTTTGTACACACCTCCTTTAAGAATACTTTCTCCGTAATTGTTTCCAGTCTGACTGACTGAGGAAATATTCAGGACTCAATCCCATGTACAGATGTCGAACATTACATAATCAGTTATACTATATCCATTGTACTTGTGACTCTCATAAAAATATATTTTTTCAATAACTATTTATTGCATATCTGCAATGTGCCAAGTTGTGTTGTAGACATTAGGAAAAATGAAGTAGACAAAACATTGTCTTTGTCCTCACGGAACTTACATCTCAGTATTATAAGTGTGCATACCCTCTCTTCCTACTAGGAGAAAACACTATTTTTAATCATTCTTTCACAGAGAGTTTCTTAGACTTATTTCATCAGAGACTATTGAAAAGCACACACTCTTCCATCCCCCCAGAATGAGAATCCTGGGGGAGGGATTGGGAAGTCTATTTTTTTTAAGAAACTCACTGGGTGTTTCATGTGCATTCACAGCTTTAGGTAACTCTGGGGGAAAGCACTACCTTATTAAGAGCATACTGCTGAAGAAATTGGTAATATCCATTGTACTATATCTGTAGGATCCCTTTTGATTGTCATTACCAAACATCTCATCCTTGGAGAATATGAAAGCTCTCCAAGGCTTTCCACAGCCAATTCACCTAACAAAAAATAAGGCAAACTTTTTCAAGAATACCATTATTTTTAAATAAAATGCCTCTACACGGCAGATGTTACTATGTTCTACTTTGGGGATGAAAAGAATCAAACATTATTAGTTATGGTCCACAGAATCACAAGATTTATTTTAAAGATAAAGTTCAGATGATGAACATAAAGGAAGCTATCTCATCAAAGAAGGCAAGACAGAGTAGATCTCAGAAGTCCACCATGTACAATATTTTAAAATGCTCCCTAAAGTTGTTCTTTGTGAGTTAATGAAGGTCAGTGTAGTCAATATTCAGTACGTAATCCTAGCAAGTACACATAAAGTTAATATTATTAAAATATCTTACACAGGCTTATTGCATGCAACACACTGTTCTAAGTAACATACAGATATTAAGATGACTTAATTCTCAAAACATGTCTCAAAACATGAAGTGAGTTTTTGTTTTTATGCCCATTTTGCAGATGAGAAAACTGAGGCATAGGGAAGGTAAGTAACCTGCTTAAGGTTACAGAGCTGGTAAATTGTAGCCAGGAGTTGGAATCTAGGTGACAAAATCTACGCTCTTAATCACTAAACTGCCCTGCCTTAGTTTTTATACTTCTTTAGAAGCCTCAGACCAAAAGAAGTTTAGACAATTCTAATAGAACAAGCAAGAATTTGCTGATCACAGCTTCCTTGCCCCAATCCTTTAATCGGCTTCATTTTCATTGACTTCTTTTTTAAATGAAGATAACAGTGTTGTTGAACAGGATCATCTAGTGGTTAGCGGTTCAGCATAAGAATGACTTGCTTCTGAAGCTCAGCTCTACCACTTGCTTGCTGTGTGACCTTGAGAAAGTTACCTCTCCAAGTCTGTTTCCTCATCTTTAAAAGAGAGGTTATAATAGGACCCACATCATCCTATTGTTTAAAGAGAAAACAACATAGCCCACTTAAAGCACTTAGAAAGTGCTCCATAAATATTATTAGTGTAATAAATAGCAGCAACATCAATAAAGTATGAACCAAATGATCTCTTGATTCGTATACTAACACTAAAAATGGTTTATTTCCCTTCTAATTAAAAGAAAATTACAACAACTAAGCAACAAACCAAACCATAGCCATAAAATCAATTATATCTTTTGTGAGAAAACTGGAAAGGCTATTGGACACATTAATTCATTTGTCATCAGTCATCCCCTCTATTCCAAAATGTTTGTGTTCTAGCATCCTGAGACACCTTGCATAATATAATCTGTGACTCCAAGAGGTCAAATGGGCAGGCAGTTAATGCTTCTCTGTGAAAAGCTCAATAATTCATTTTATAAATTTCAGTTTAAAGCCTGCGTTGAGGTTAAGAAAAATTGACGTTCAGTCTGTGAACTTAATGTCAAGCTCCAGAAAAACTCTGGGCAGCACATGGTTAGCAATTAAGTGGACACAGACAATAAAGACGTTGCCAAATTGTAAAACAAGACTTGGAAATCACAGAAAATGTTGCTAGTTATTGATTACGGTGATCATTCAGTTCCTACTGAGCCACCCAAAAGAATCATTCATTTTCCAGCAGAGAGCCTGCTCATTTGCAAGATAAAAGAGAGACATTTCTGCACATGCCCATAATGTTCTTCACCACTGGGGGCAGCTTTACATAAGACTGCATTCAGTGAAACCAAAGCAACAGTCCGAGCAGCTTTCAGAATGACAGTCTGCAGAAGTGAGCTGAGCGTGTGCGCGGTACGGGGCTCTCCTGCCTTCTGGGCTCCAACGCAGCTCTGTGGCTGAACTGGGTGCTCACCACAGGAACTGCTGGGCTATGGAATACAGATGTGGCAGCTCAGGTAGCCCCACATTGCCTGGAGGAATACATCATGTTTTCCGATAAGAAGAAATTGTAGGAGCTAGTTTTTTTTTTTTTAACCGTCCCCCCGCCCCCCAAAAAACTGTAAAGATGCAAAAACGTAATATCCATGAAGATCCTATTACCTAGGAAGATTTTGATGTTTTGCTGCGAATGCGGTGTTGGGATTTATTTGTTCTTGGAGTGTTCTGCGTGGCTGGCAAAGAATAATGTTCCAAAATCGGTCCATCTCCCAAGGGGTCCAATTTTTCTTCCTGGGTGTCAGCGAGCCCTGACTCACTACAGTGCAGCTGACAGGGGCTGTCATGCAACTGGCCCCTAAGCCAAAGCAAAAGACCTAAGGACGACCTTTGAACAATACAAAGGATGGGTATGTTTTGTCATTTTTTCTTCTTTCCTTCTTAAAAACAAAAAGCAAAAAACCTCTAGTCTGTGTAATAATTCTGCCTTAATTATTTTAGAGATTACCTTGCTCTGCTCTAAGACTGAATTTATTTGCTTAGTGGACACGTTTCCTTGTTTAACTGTTTTAAAAAACAAAACACTAAAGACAATTCTCTTTAATTACAAAGAGATAATATGAGATGTTAAATGTTATCTAGATTTAAATTTTAAAAAATGAAAAATACATGCCTATTTTTGCTTGATTAAAGATTAATTCTTTTTTGGGGGGATAACTTTTCTAAGTTGTTTTTATTTCCAGGTTTCAATGTAATTAGGCTACTGAGCGGATCAGCTGTAGCACTGGTTATAGCCCCCACTGTCTTACTGACAATGCTTTCTTCTGCCGAACGAGGATGCCCTAAGGGCTGTAGGTGTGAAGGCAAAATGGTATATTGTGAATCTCAGAAATTACAGGAGATACCCTCAAGTATATCTGCTGGTTGCTTAGGTTTGTCCCTTCGCTATAACAGCCTTCAAAAACTTAAGTATAATCAATTCAAAGGGCTCAACCAGCTCACCTGGCTATACCTTGACCATAACCATATCAGCAATATTGACGAAAATGCTTTTAATGGAATACGCAGACTCAAAGAGCTGATTCTTAGTTCCAATAGAATCTCCTATTTTCTTAACAATACCTTCAGACCTGTGACAAATTTACGGAACTTGGATCTGTCCTATAATCAGCTGCATTCTCTGGGATCTGAACAGTTTCGGGGCTTGCGGAAGCTGCTGAGTTTACATTTACGGTCTAACTCCCTGAGAACCATCCCTGTGCGAATATTCCAAGACTGCCGCAACCTGGAACTTTTGGACCTGGGATATAACCGGATCCGAAGTTTAGCCAGGAATGTCTTTGCTGGCATGATCAGACTCAAAGAACTTCACCTGGAGCACAATCAATTTTCCAAGCTCAACCTGGCCCTTTTTCCAAGGTTGGTCAGCCTTCAGAACCTTTACTTGCAGTGGAATAAAATCAGTGTCATAGGACAGACCATGTCCTGGACTTGGAGCTCCTTACAAAGGCTTGATTTATCAGGCAATGAGATCGAAGCTTTCAGTGGACCCAGTGTTTTCCAGTGCGTCCCAAATCTGCAGCGCCTCAACCTGGATTCCAACAAGCTCACATTTATTGGTCAAGAGATTTTGGATTCTTGGATATCCCTCAATGACATCAGTCTTGCTGGGAATATATGGGAATGCAGCAGAAATATTTGCTCCCTTGTAAACTGGCTGAAAAGTTTTAAAGGTCTAAGAGAGAATACAATTATCTGTGCCAGTCCCAAAGAGCTGCAAGGAGTAAACGTGATCGATGCAGTGAAGAACTACAGCATCTGTGGCAAAAGTACTACAGAGAGGTTTGATCTGGCCAGGGCTCTCCCAAAGCCGACGTTTAAGCCCAAGCTCCCCAGGCCGAAGCATGAGAGCAAACCCCCTTTGCCCCCGACGGTGGGAGCCACAGAGCCCGGCCCAGAGACCGATGCTGACGCCGAGCACATCTCTTTCCATAAAATCATCGCGGGGAGCGTAGCGCTTTTCCTGTCCGTGCTCGTCATCCTGCTGGTTATCTACGTGTCATGGAAGCGGTACCCTGCGAGCATGAAGCAGCTGCAGCAGCGCTCCCTCATGCGAAGGCACAGGAAAAAGAAAAGACAGTCCCTAAAGCAAATGACTCCCAGCACCCAGGAATTTTATGTAGATTATAAACCCACCAACACGGAGACCAGCGAGATGCTGCTGAATGGGACGGGACCCTGCACCTATAACAAATCGGGCTCCAGGGAGTGTGAGGTATGAACCATTGCGATAAAAAGAGCTCTTAAAAGCTGAGAAATAAGTGGTGCTTTATTGAACTCTGGTGACTATCAAGGGAACGCGATGCCTCCCCCCCCACCCCCGGCCCTCTTCCCTCTCCCTCTCACTTTGCTGGCAAGGTCCTTCTCTGTCCATTTTAGTGCATTCATAATACTGGTCATTTTCCTCTCATACATAATCAACCCATTGAAATTTAAACACCACAATCAAGGTGAGGCTTGAACTCCGGTTTAATATAATACCTGTTGTATAAGACCCTTTATTGATCCCATTAATGTCGTATTTGTTTTAAGATAAAACTTCTTTCAAAAGTAATCCCCCACATCTGCTGTTATCCTCCTGGTGGTACCAAATCTACAGTTATAGAAGGTTTGCAGCTGACTGACAAATCAAGGAAAGAGGTGAATGATTCCAGGTGCTTGGAGCTTGAGCTGATTCTTGGAGATGACTCAGTTACGGGAACATTTTAAAGACAGGCAGAGCCTTTAAACCAATGCCTGACTTAAAAAGAAAATTGCAGGAAACTATCAAAAGATGGTGCTAGGTTAAAGCAGCACCCTGAGCAGTTTCCAGAGGCGTGTGAATTACAGTAAGGCAAGCACAGGCACAAAGTGATGAAGGGTTAAAATACTGCAAGTAGACAACTGCAAAATGTGAGGAGATGACAAAAATGTAAAGTTTTCGACTCAAAGCCTTGTCTTTGAAACCCATCTCTGTAAAATCAGACTAGAGGTTTCACTGTCAATTTCTTCCAGCCTGTATCTTTCACAAATAAATAAATGAAACAGCATTGAGAAGCCAGATTTCTCCACCACACCTCACGTTAGTTAGCAAGTTTTCAGGTAAGGTTTGCAAATGGGAAAGCAGCTTGCTACAGGCATGTGGTTGAGAACTTACCAGAATTTCTCTTTCCAGTTTTTTCAAAGACCCTAATGTAGTTAGTATAATCATTAGCTCTGTCCTGATCTGTTCAGGATTTGTCAGGCTGCCCTGTTGTGTTCCATTACATGTCCTGCACACACTAGTCCCCTAATGACAGACACTTCCTTCAGATGTATAAAGAGAACACATTCCAAGACATGCCTTCCACCCATAGCCTCATTGAAAAGGATGACTTTGATAACACCTTAATAAATGTATAAAATAAATCTTAGAGGAAAAAAGACCACTATGACAGTTCTGTTGCTTTTCTATTGCTGACATTACAGTGTCCCTGTGTTCATCTGTATTGTGAACTCATCCATCAGTACAATTCTGTACAGACCCTGTTGGCAATCTGCAAGCTGCATGCATGTTTTTATGCCATTGGTGAAAGTTTATTGACTGCAGCACGAATATCATAGCCTCTGCATTTGAGTAACTTGAACCATAGTCAATTAAGGTTTTTAGAAATATATATTTAGTCTGTATTTTCCTTCATCCTCCAAAATGAACAGTTCTATTATAGAAGCAAATATCAGGAATTGCAACATTGAGGCTGTTTCATTTAATTTGGCTTGCCAACCCCTACATCTTTAACCATGTCCCTCTTCTCTGAAAACAGAATCACTGCAGCAAAAAAGAAAAAGTGAATGGCTATTTTTACTAAATTTTTTTATTGATTGGGGGTTTTTCATATGCCGAGAGGAAAAGTCTAGGCAAGTCACCATAAAATAAAATTTTAAGGATGCCAGATTATTAAATTCATAATTTTATAAGCAATAAAGAAAAAGAAGTATTTAAAGTGGATTTCTCAAGGTACTTTGATATTGATTAAATCTTACAATAGATGCCACTTCAGAAAAACATCGTAGCTACAATGTTTACCCATGAATAATTGTTGAATGTACATGTATTAATGACAAAAATCACATATTTCCAATGGATTAATAATGCAGATACTTCCTTACAGCTTACTGGATGACTGAGCTTATTGTGATGGTTTTTACTGAAGTTGTAACTTTACATTTTTCATAAAGCATCAGTAAATACATATTCCATCTTAAAAAGAAATTTTCTTTGGCTAGCCTCATTTTTATCTGTACTAAAGATGTTTGTATTAATGAAATGCAGTCTTAAAGTGAAGAACCCCATTTCTATTATTTTTTACTTAACCTTCTGCCTTACTTGTGATGGATACCAAATATATTTAGGCAATGTATACTTATATTTTTGAATTATTGCAGATTCTCGATGCTGTGGTGCTACTAGTATATATAAAATATGCTTGCTATATTGAAAAGCATTTCTCAAATTCAAAGCTACTTGGTATATAAAATATGATATAACACTAAATGAATCGCCAATATTTTGAAAGCTGGTCACTTTTTAATGGCTAACTTTACTTATAAACATAATAATAGATAAGAACAAAAATAAAATCCCTTAGGTGGTAAAACTCATTTTGATTTGGCACATTAAATTATGGGAAAAAAGTTCTTTCTTCCTCCTCACTCTTTGAGAATGAATCTTCTGTAGTTCTCAGTATCTTCTGAGCACAGATATATAATTCTTGTAGACTTAACAATAACTAGTTTACCACTGTAAATTTTAAAAAGTCAACTGCCAAATAGTCTACTGCTCAAAAGTTGTTGCCTCACCTCCATCTCATGGTACTTTCTGGACTACACATCATAAATCTATTCGTATAAGTATTTCAAGTTCATGCAGATTAGAGAAATGTGATTGATATTTATGTTTCTAGTACGTATTTACATAAAATATTGGACTTCCTCAAAGGTGACAACAGTTTATAAAAAAAAAAAAAAAAAAAAGCCTGACCTGTTGAACTATACAACAGAACACAGAATACTTTGCTTTACCAAAACAGAGAAGAAATGGAATTTAGTCTCTAAACTGCATGTGGGTTTTTTTCCATTTTTATTAACCCCAGTACAGAGAGTGCTACCACAGCATGTAGTTAATAGTCCCAGTGCCACAGTCTTGTAAGCAATACTTATGCAAGATATATTCCATTTAAATGAGTTTGTATTTTCCAAGGATGTTGATATTACATCTTTTCAAAGAATTTACACCATTTTTCACTTGATTTGGTGAGTGAACTACCTAAGTAGACAGGCAATAAATTGTCTTTCTATGGAGCAGCAGCGACCTCTAGTGGCTAGTTAGACTAACCACAGCTATTCACACATTTTAGCTTTTTATCCTGAATTCTTGTGTAAATGTGGTTTAAAACATATGTTTTTTTGACTAGTAAATCAGATTTGAATTTTATTTAATTAACTTCCCTGGTAAATATAATTATAATGTAATTTTTTAATGTTATTCTTTTCATTTTGACTTTTTTAGTAATACTGGAACAGAGGCCATAGAATTGGTACTGAGGGCTAGAAAAAAGTGTCCAAAGATGAAAAGCGAGTAATAATGCAATAAGAATAGATAAGAAATATTTTAAAGTGCTTATGCTCATCAATGCTGGGTAAATATTTTGACATTTTTATTAAAGGGGTTAATGTTTTCCATCAGCAAGATACATACAACTTAGGTAGGAAAAACAAATTTTAATATTAAATCAAGAGTCGGCATTAGTTATTCACTGGTCAGTAGATATGTCAAAGGTGTCAAGGGAGGGGGCCTCCCCTTCCGGCTTTAGAACTCTCAGTTTGCTGATTGTGCCAGTGACCTGTGCTTTGCCCCAGCGCTTTCTCCCTCCCTCCCCCTTTTCAGTTAGCTGAACACTGGTTCTATTAGGCTCTCTGACAATGATGTTACAGTCTAAGAGGTGATGATTCATGGATAATGAAATTATGCTCTCCTTCTGGGGAAGGATAATGCAGAGTCAGATTCATGGATTTGGCAAGAGGTTTTAGGATGCTGTAGGTGCATGAAGTATCTTTTCTTCCCTTGACATTTACCAAAATGAGAACTCAAATCGTTTATTTAAAGTGTGGATTAGACTGCATCAGAAACAGCATCAGGTCATGAAGCCTGAGACAAAGTGAGTTCCAGACATGGCAAGTAAGAATCGAGCCATGAGAAATAAAAAATTCAGAAGCTGTTGCTTCATCTATTCCTTTTTGCTCTGGATTGTCATTAGAATCCAGATCTGTAGCAAACCCATGGAGTTTTGCTATTCTTGTATTCTCCTAGCTCCCTACGCTAAAAATCAGAGGCAGTTTTGGGAAACAATGAGCACAAAAGCATATTTGGGTAAATTTGAATGACATAAGTTTTAAGTGAAGTAAAATGAATGGATGTTAAATAGCTTGTATCAAACAGCTCTAATTGAAAACGAATTAAAGAAACGATAATAATACACAGGTGAAAGTGACTGCTTTCCAAATCATAATAGCCTACAGAATTGGACCCAAATTCTTTTAGCCTCCAAAAGTTGGTGATGATTTTGGCTATCTGGCTAGAATATAATAAAATACAACCAAGAAAATCTAAATAACAATAATTTATTATTATTTTTCATTTGAGGAAAATATGACAGCCAGGCATGGTAGAATATGGGCCTTAGAAATTAAGACCTAAATTCAAGTTCCTTTGACACTTGCTAATCAAGACATCGCAGGTAAATTTCCTGGCTTTTCTGAACTTGAAGTTTCTCATATGTACAACAGATGTGTACTATTGACTGCTCATGGTTATGAGGAGGACGAAATATGAAAAGTACTTTGTAAACTCTAAAATGGCAACTACCTCTTCCTTTCAAAAAGCACTTAGTGAGATACTGAGTGGGGTTCATTGTTCTATGTTTGGCATGAGCCAAAAAGAAATCAGTAACCTCTATGTTACAGAACCCCAAGCCCATTTTACATCATTACAAGTCTAGAACTTTGTCTGTGACTTTCTGTTTTCACATAGACACAGCTTCTTTCACCTCATGTTATCTAAGTCTATGATTTTTACACTGATTGTCACAATGTACAACAGACATAAAGACACTGACCACGGAACACTAAAACAAATACTCATCAAACCCATTAAAAATTCTAGTTGTATTTCAAATCAGGTAACTATAGCAAGGGCTT